AACATTAGAGTCTTTAGTGTTTTACCCTCACAAAGGTCAGTGGCTATATATGATTCTAGTGCTTGAAGAGTTGGGAAGATGTATTGAAAAAGCTTTGCATCTTTTGTAGGAGATTTGATCCACGAAGGGAATGTACACTTCGGATGTATTCTTACCTCCTTCCTGTTGATGTTATTGGGGTTAAGAATAGCTTTACTTCTGATGAGATTGACAATCACCTTTCAGATTTCAACGAGATTTTGAAACAGTTCGAGGTGAGAGTGCTATGCATTGTTTCTTTAGTTCCAGAAACTTTCTTCTTACATTTTTGGCTTCATTGGTACTGTGTTTTTTTTCCTTGTAGGGTGACTATCCTTTCCATAACTATACACAACGGTCAAAGTACAGAAGGAAAGCCCAACAAAAGATAACACAAAGAAACGGACGCCCTCCAAAGAAGCCTAAATCAATCGAAGCATCAGAGTTTACAGAGGAAAACAACAGAGAAACTGTAGAAGAAAAAGTTCAAGAAGAAGAAGAAGAAGAAGAAGAGGAAGCAGGTGGTGAATCTAATGAAGATGTTGCTAATATTCAGGCGTACATCCGTGCTAAATGGCTACATGAGCCAGATGAAACGGATAAGCTGAGTGCTGCTCATTTCAGAAAAGTGTATCGATGCAGTTGTGGAAAGCTGGAGAATTCACTTGGATTCGGCTTTGTTGAGATCTCCATATGGGGAGAATCATTCATGTTACATCAGGTAATATTTAAAAACTTGAAATATGGTTATAGGAGGAGTGTAGCTAAAAATAGTATATGTTGTAAATACTGTTCTAAAAATATGTCTAGGCGTTAAAAAATCCGTCTAGGGGCCCACCTAATCCATAATCCCCTATAAAGCATCTAATTATTGCTTTATCGATTTTTTGAACACTGGTTGTATATGTTTTCGAACATTAGATACGGAAGATGATTGGAACAGCTGTGGCAGTGAAGAGAGAGCTGCTTCCAAGAGACATCATAAGATTATCTCTGAACAAGTTCACAAGAATAGTTTTGCCTTTGGCCCCATCTGAAGTACTGATCCTTAGAGGAAACAGCTTCGAAGTGCCTAAATCGCCTGCAAATTTCCGGAAGAGGCCGGAGATAAAAGCAATGGAGGAATCAGAGGAAGTGGAGAAAGAGGTGGAGGAGTTTTACAGAGGGGTGATGGTTCCACAGGTGAGTAGATTCCTGGATTCAGAGGAAGCTCCATGGAAAGAGTGGCTTGAGCATTTGGAGAGGAACGATGGTATGATTGATGAGCAATTGGAAGATGTACGAAGAGGTTGGGAGGAGTGGAAGGCAAAGCCAAGGGTTATGACGAGGAAGACAGAAGGTGGTAAAGAGTTTGGTTCTGTTTCAGTAGCTGTTCATCAGGCTCTGCATTAGTCACATTTATATTTAGACCAAAGTCATGTTCAGGATTATTGTTTACTTCACATTGACTCTCACTGTCTCAGAAATTATTATTTCTTTCATACTTTTGAGGATGGCACTTTAAATTTATTGAGCTCTTTACACTCCACCTTCAAATGGGAACCAGCATGGTCTATTCAATGACTGCATTGAAACATGGTAGTCTAGTGGCGCTTAAATGTTGGGAGATTACATCTGCACCTTAGTTCAAAGTTCAAACTAGATGTTTTCCACCATGACAATTTATTTAAAAATATTTTTTTTGTTAATATTTTAGATTTTACTATTTTCTTATCAGTATTTTAGTTTAAATCTTAATTTAACTATTTATATTTAAAAATATATATCAGTGGCGGAACTAGAAACATATTTTACTGGACTCATAAGTTAAATAATAAAATATTAAATAAATATAAATATTAAATAAAATATAAAAAACAAAATATTTATGTATACACAGAAAATTTCAAAACATAATTTGAAATGATTGCATATAAAATACCATTTATATAAATTTTATGTTGTATGATAATTTTTTATTTCATTAATTTGCATGGCATCATTATTTATTTAAAATATTGTTCAGAGAAAAAACAGAACTAATTAAATGATATAAAATTTATTACAATAAAAAGGATTCATGGTACATGAGGCTATATAGTGTATTATCATAAATAGAAAACATTAATAACATAATATATAAAATAAAAGATCTAGTCATAAAGATACGTCATCATGCAATAAGAAGATATCAAAGACTACATATAACGAAAAAAATACGCTCATTTAAAGATGAGAGAATCAGCCAAATACCCCTAATAGAAACCCAAATTAGTGATTTATCCATAATTTGATATTAACACAACTGTTTTTACAATTTGGTTTCGGTTTGACATTTCACCCTTCTCACATTCTCCTTCTCCCTACAATTTATTCTGACAGTCTCTTTTCATTGTCATTCTCTCTCACTTTTCTATCTTCTTAATCTTATCCTCTCTTCATCTTCTTTTTTAAAATTCTCTTTGTTCTTTTTTTCTTCATTTCTTTCTATTCTTTTGAATATATTTTTTTGATTTATCAATTTTAAGCAACATACATAAAACTTTGGGTATCAATATCTTGATATTCCAACAAAATCCAAAGATGATTTAACACCAAATCTTGATAAAAATGCTGAAATTCATGATAATGATTCTATTGATGGTGAAGGTTAGTAATTCTCTTATTAATTTAATTCACTTTTAGAACGCATGTATTACTATTTTCTTGTAGGAATACTACCATAAATTTATAGAAATATATGGTACGTGCAGCTGTTTATAGTTAACACCTATGTTAACATTTAATATTAGTTGGTACGTGTATTTGTTAATAGTTAACACATATGTTAACATCTACAAAATATTTGTTAACATGTAGCACTTTTGTTAACACCTCTGGTATATGTTTGTGGTAATCACTTATGTTAACATCTACAAAATAAATCTTGTCATCTTTTTTTTTTAACGAAATGATTGTGGTAATCACCTATTAAATTTAGGGAGTTTTCTTGGGAGTGAGATTTATTTTTGGGAGAATTTTTAGTTTACATTATCTGTTCAATAATTCATGTTTACCTTCATTATACGTTTCTAACTTTTTTTTCTTTTTCCAATTTTCCATTTTTTCAAATTTTATTTTTGAAATTCAAAAAACTATTTTTCAAAATTTTATTTTAAATTTAAAATATTTATCTATATATTTATTAAAATTTTAAATTCTATTTTCCAAAACTCCACCCTCAAATCTATATTAGTTTTTTTACAACAATAAACTACTTTATGATAAAGTCCCTATCGAATGAGAGAGTCAAACCGAAGGAGAAGCATCAACATAAACCATAGTTGAAGGAAAATTTCTCGCACCTCGTGCAAATTTGTCTGTTATTTTGTTTTTGCGTCCTTGGAATATGTTTGATCGAGAATATAGAAAAGAAAGTCTTAATGCGTCACTAATCCTCCAAATGCGTAGTGAATGTTAGCCAATCTCCAGATGTCGACACCATCTTCACCATTTGAGAACAGCCTGTTGCAAAAATTACATCTAAGAACTGCCAAGTCTTCATACACTTCATAGCCCAAATCAACGCTTCACATTCAGCATGTCAAGGTGTCAAACTTCTTCGGAGAGTCATATCCCCCATCATCTTCTCAGCTGAATCTATGGTTTGACAGAACATCCCCTCACCCGTCCACTCATCTTGTTCCCGCCACGCTCCATCAACAAAACATATTCTAGTATGGCCTGGATTATGTAAATCAATTGTTCGTATAGCAGTCTACCCAACTTTGTGCCTCACACCATAGCGTCCCTTCTATTTCTGCAATCCGTACAATTTCCTGCGGATCCCCATTTTTATTTTTATAAATTTTATCATTTCTATTTCTCCAAATATACCACAAAATCCACGGGAAATAACCAAAGTCATAATCCTTGGGAAGTATTTGTAAAAACTGAGGATGAGAGAAATTTTTCTCGAGGTGATGGGATGTTGAGAGGGCCCATACATGTAAGGCTGGGGGACATTCAAAAAGAATATGATTAATAGTTTCTTCCTTGGCTCCACAAAAACAACCCCTTAAGTCACAATTCATCCCCCTAGCTGTCAAATTCTTTGAAACTTGAGTGTACCTGAAAGAATTTCCCAAACAAAATTCCTCAGCTTCGGAGAGTACCTCAAAAATTTCATGTAAAGACAAATAATTGTTTTATATCCGGACAATAATAAATAATCCTGGTGTCATTGTCTGGATATAATGTTTCCGTTTTGTACCCTGATTTAACCGAGTATTACCCTGATTCTGTGAAACTCCAACCATACGAATCTGATCTTTTGAATCTGCTGTTTGCCAGTCCTTTAATAATTTTCACATCCTATGGATGAATATATTCACTAAGCAAATCCTAATACGGAGCGCTGTATAAGAATGAATGTTGCCAGGGTGTTAGTGGAGGTGGATTTGACCATGCCGTTGCCAAGTAAGATCAGTTTTACGGGTAGAGATGATTCTAATGTGTTGGTGTCTATCAGTTACCCCTGGCTCCCTCCTCGTTGAACCTCCTGTTCCAGATGGGGACATAAAAGCAATGAATGCCATGCCAAGGTCCAGGATGTAACGCCGTCGGTCAATGATACAGTGGTGTTAGAGGGGTTCTCAACAAAGGAAGCTACCTCACAGTCTAGCTCGGAGATTGTAAAAAAACTGTTAAGAGGAGCTAGAGACATTCTCGGAGAAAGGAAACTTTTCAGGAGGATCTCCTCCGCCATATGGTAGCAATGAAGTTAGTGGCCCAGGAGACTGGGCTTTGGCACCAAGGAAGAGTGGGAAATGAGTTCGCCTGGTAAAGCGAAAGAAGTGGCAGATTGTGTTTCTCCAAATGCTTATCTAATTTTTCAAGATTTGAGAGAGGAAGGTGAGATTGGAGAGGATGAGGATGAGCAAGAAGCAGATGAGGAAACTAATCAAGAGGACGCCTTGGTAGTGGGAGGTAAGTTTCCTGGGGGTGATATCACTGACCAACCAACCTAGACCTTGCAAAGGCAAGAGCCCTCTCAAAGAGGACATGGTAGAGGATCCAAGTGTCCTATAGTGAACTCCAGAGGGCTGGTTCAGGCAGTGGTGCAGCATCAGAAAGGTCAGGTAAATGGAAAGAAAGATTCCTCTAGGAAGCCCTGATGTCTTCAATATTTGCGTGGAGTGTGCGTCGATTCAATAAACCGTGCATACATAGAGCAGTCAAGCACTGGATTAATGCTCCTAAGTTGAGTTTTGGTTATATGTTAGAGACTAAAGTGAAAGAAGAAATTATCAGAGAGTTTTTGATGCTACTTTTCTGGGTTGGAATTGTGTAATTAATTACTTGAGTCACAGGCTGGGTAGGATTTTGGTTTATTGGTCAGATGAAGTGGATGTTTGCCCAGTGTCTTCTACTATGCAGATGGTTACAATATGGGTGAGATACAAAGCAACGGGTGACACTTTTCTTTGCTCGTTTATATATGCTTCAAACTTTGCTAGCGAAAGGAGAGAGCTATGGAGTGAGTTGACGACAATAGGTAATCTAGTGGAAGACAACCCTTGGATCATTCAGGTAGATTTTAATGTTGCCTTATCGCTGGAAGAGAACTCAAGGTGTCAAGAGACTAGAATGGATATGAATGCTATTAGGGAGTTCCATAATGTAGTTCATCATTGTGACTTGATGGACCTACCTCAGGTTGGCCCTTCGTTCACTTGGTCAAACTGTCAAATGAAAACCCAATCAATAAGAAGTTGGACAGAGTTATGATCAATAAGCCGATGGAGTTCTGATTTTCCTTAATCTTATGCCACATTTGAATCTGGTGGAGTCTCAGATCATTTGCGTATACATGTCCATCTCAGGGCTGCTACTCCAGGAAATAAACCTTTTAAGTTCTTTAAGCATGTTACCAATCATCCTAGATTCCTTGAAGTGGTATCTCAAGTTTGGAGCTCGTCCCCGACATTGTTCCACTCTCTCTTGGCTCTCAAAATGTTTCATGAGAAACTGAAGTCCCTCAAGTCAGAGATGAGAGGGTTAAACAGAGACCTCTATGGTGACCTTCCAGGTCGTGTGAAGAAGGCATATGAGGATCTCTGTGTGAAGCAAATAAAATCTATGCAGAATCCTAAAACGTCAACTTTCGAAGCTGCTTCTGATGCTTGGGAGCATTGGCACCACATCTCAGGCATGAGGAGCAATTTTTCTATCAGAAATCTAGAATTCAATGGCTTGGTCTAGGTGACAGGAACTCTAGGTTTTTTCATAAAGTTATGCAAAGTCGGAATATGAGGAATATGATAAGGAAGATTGTCACCTCGGATGGTACAATCCTCACCTCTCCGTCTGACATTAAGTGTGAAGCGGTTAGGCACTTTGAGGCTTTCCTCAATGGTGGCCAGCAAGATGTCTCTGCTGTAACACATGAAGAGCTCCGAGAATTAGTTGATTACCAATGTTCTAGTGCTGACACTGCAATACACCAGGCACCAGTACATGCTTCTGAGATCAAGGAGATTTTGTTCTCAATGCAAGCAAA